TAAATGCCGTGTTACTTAGAAAGAACTGAAGTATGAATTTTGTTGTTACTGAAAATTTACTATTGTTACTTAGATTTCTTACAACCTTCGCTATACTATACTACTGATTACTAATTGTCCAGCTTTGAAGCAAATTTTGAGAAGGCGTCAAGGTAACTTTTCACCGGCCGTACAACTACCGCAAGGCTCGTTTACCCGTCTAGTTGGTTGCTTCAGGAAAAAGCAGCGGTCTTTGAGAACTCCTGCTATTCCGCCGTGAAAATCTGGTACACAGAACTCGTTTAAACGTCAATTTAAGAATAGTATTTGCCGCAAACAAAAGTTTGACGATTTAAAGGGAGAACAAGAAAGAGAACTAACAGATGCAGGAGATAATCAAGATTTGAAAAAACTGAAGTACAATAACTCGCCTCATATAATCCACGATAAAACGGGAAAATTCTGCTAAGAACAGCCAGAACACTTTGTGTTCCGTTGACAATAAAGGGGAACCATAAGACTATGAACGAAAGCACAACAACTGCAGCAACTCTCAGAATTGATGTAAAACTAAAAGTAGAGAGCTAGCAAAGAAAAAATAAATTGGTTTTTAGAGACGAACCTTTCCACAATGTTTGACAAGAGTGGTCTCTTGGAAGATCTTGCCAATATAAATACGAATATGGGTAAAGCATGATATAATTCCATCTGCTTATAATTCAAAGCAAATACAAAAGCGATAGAGCCAAGCAGACGTCGCTGATTAACAAGAAGTAAGAATGACAGCAGAAATAACCCAAGCGAAATGCTGTTGTACCTGAAGAAGATTACAGTACTTAGAAGGGCCCGTACACAGGTTTGAGTGTTTTTGTTTATGAAAAGAATATTTTTAAAAAAGTGAAGACATAACTCACTGAAAGTGGGCATTGTCAATGGCTATCAGACCGGGATACAGCAAGATCAGTGGCATCAAAGAATTCTGTAAGAAAAATTCGGCAATTGTGGATTATAAGCCAAACTAAAAAATTTGGGAGAGCTTACTGCTTTCAATTCATATGTTTTCTCGTAAAATATGAAGAGTAGAACAGCAGGTACATAAAATATGTGAAATGGAAGAATAGCGCTGAGACGCATGTACATTTTGTGGGTTGTATTTTGGATTCCTCTGCTAGAGTGCAATGAAACCCATGATGGATTGATGACGTGTGCTCTGCAACAAAAATTAGCAAGTGAATTGATGTTTTCTATGATTTCCGGAACTGCAAAAAACCCACAAGAACCCCATGATATAGCTGTGATAGGCGGTCAGAGGAGGATAATCCAGGCCCCAGTAAAGCAGATCGTTATCTGTACCATTCACATACCTGAAGATCGTAGCCATAAACTAGAATTCTATAGAAGTAGTGTGGGTGCTTTACCATTCTCGAACAGGAAGATGGTATGTGATCTCCATCCAATGTCGTTGGGCTTCAAAGTCACCATACATTGGTGGTTTGCCTTCTCCTTAAAGGAATGCTAGTTGAACACTCTCATTGGAAGGATATCTTTCAGAGCACAAGGTGCAAAAGCAATGGCTGTGAATATCTGCTGTTTTGTTTGAGAGACAGATGTACTCAACTATATAAGGCACAAATCGGATGAAGCAGCGCGAAGTGCCGGATCAGACATAATCTTATATGTCAGGTTTACAAATATTTTTAAATAAATAAATCAAACGCATATCTCTCTCAATTCAAGTGAGA